GGAACATGGAGACCAAAAGAAAGGGCTGGGCCTGGATGTTTTGATCAAGGACCCAATGGCTAGTTCTTCATCAAAAGGAGGAAAACTGTGGACAGAATTTCAAATTCTTACGGAACCACGACTTACGGAATTCCCTGAGACCAAGTGAACCCCTGAACCTATGGCCTGGGGACACTTTGAAAATCTTGATTCTGCAAAGTCATTTTAAAACAAAACAGCAGTTTAGTTCAATTACTTAGGAATGTTTGCCTTGAGCATTACATTCTTTCCAAGAATTATCTGAGATCCAACAGACAAAGCACAAGGAGCGCACTAAGGATCAGAGAATCTAAGTTAAGGAGGTGGAACAATACGGGTGGTGACGCAAGGTGAATTGCTTTGCTCAGTGAATTGCTCCTATGTCAAACAGGTGGACGTATTGTTTTATATATTTTCTCCAGAATGACTAAATGAATGAATGAATTTGGCCCAATTTCAAATCAAGGCTGGATCTCAGGAGATACTTTCAGCTGCATCAACCTTTGCATTGAACGCTGACATTTTCCTTAAAACATAATTCTCGGTGTGCCACTCGTACCTGGGTCCGTGTCAGCAACTCCCTGACATCGTCTGTGAAAGTTTCTGCATCTACCCAGTGTTCTGGAGAGAGGGGTTCACAGCTTTAATTGCATCCTCAAAGGGGTCTCTGCCTGACTGCAGGGCACTGCCCCAGGAGATGCTCGTCTCTCCCCTGTTGGTGCCCTGCTGCCTGTGCCACTCAGACAGACAGGGAGCAATATCCAACAGGATGCAGCTTGTCAACACGGTTGTTTGGTTTCGATCCAGCCTTTTCTATGACGCGAATCATAATGGGAATGAAAATAGACGTCCTTCCTTGTCTTCTTTGTTGGAATGGGAACAGAGCAATGCAGCAGGTGGCCTGACCCGTTTCCTTGCTAGCCTGCAGAGGAAAAACTTCGCACCCAACCAAATGAACTGCGCACAGTGCTTCTCAGGGCTGTAATCTGTTCGAAGGTTATGGCCACACCTTCCTGTAGTGGAGGAGCTGGTGGTTTCAAACAGTGGCCTTTCGCTTAGCAGCTGAGGGCCTGAACCAGTGGGAGAGGTTGAATGAATTAAAATAAACACGTCCTTCCCTTCCCGTCTCTCGCCACTACCCGCTGACACTGGGCTGGGTAGAGGCGCAGATAAGAGTCACGCAATCCATACCTAGTTCTCTGGTTAAGAGTCACGCAATCCATACCTAGTTCACAGGTTAAGAGTCACGCAATCCATACCTAGTTCACTGGTTCAGAGTCACGCAATCCATACCTAGTTCGCTGGTTAAGAGTCATGCAATCCATACCTAGTTCGCTGGTTAATAGTCAGACAATCCATACCTAGTTCGCTGGCTGCTTTCTGCGGTGGGTATTAGTTATCCTTGGAGAGCTGTTTGGCTGGGCCTGGCAGGTCAGATCTCTCGTTCAAACAACCTGAAGACTGAACAAGAGGGTCATGTTTTAAAGAGGGAGAAACAAACCATTTCAACTAGAAAAGAGAAAGAACAAAAGCAATCCAAACTACACAGGAGCATGGTGTTAGCTGCTCTGTGTTTACAGTCTTAGGGAAAAAGACAACTTCTTTAAATCAACAGGCAGCCCACACTCATGGACACATGGCCATTTCCAAAATCCTGCGGGGTCTGTACATCGCAGGTGGTCACGCTCTCTTGGTTTCCAGCACAGTTCTCTGCTGCGCGCCTAACTCTGGCTGAAACAAGCACATACCATAGGTCTTCTTTACCTCATACTAGAAATGCTAACAGGACAGAGATCAGCTCCCTGACCAATTAAACCACTTAGCCTGTCCATTGACTCAATCCTCTGCTTCCAAACAAAAGGGGGAGGGGGGGGGCGGTATGTAAAAATACAGATTTTTAAAAAGTTATTCATTTATATTGTTTTACATAACCTTATCACCTTCAAAGCACTCTCCATTACATTTAATACATTTGTCAAATCTGCAATTCCATTCTGGAAACATTTTTCAAACTCATCTGTTTGGATAGCTGACAGCACCTCCGTTTTTTCTCCTTCACCTCTTCTATGTTGTCAAATTGCTGTCCTTTCATGACCCTCTTCATTAGAGGAAACAAAAAGAAGTTGCAAGGAGTGAGGTCAGGTGAGTAAGGTGCATGCAGCAAGAAAGGCATGCTGGGTTTTTTTTTTGCCCAAAACTGGAGCACTGAGATGGCTGCATGAGCAGGTGCATTGTTGTGGTGGTAAAACCAGTCTGCCACAAATCAGGTCTTTTTTTGTCACACACTGTTATGCTATCTTTTCAGAACCTTTCAATAGAAAGCTTGATTAACAGTCTGATCTGGTGGGACAAACACCAAATGCAGTACAAGTTGACATTTTCGTCCTAAGCAGGGAAAATTTCACAGCCACATTCTGTTCTCTTAAATCGGCCATTACAAAAAACAAGGTTTGAGTGAAACTACTTTCACAAAAAAATTCACTGTGACCAAAGAGAACCTTCCCAGGCGACACCACTGGGTGCACTAATTCAGAGCGAGTTGCTGGATGCTCACCTGGTGGGAAAATGTGTATCAGGAAAGCTCCACCCAGAGGAGCATTTTTCTGGGTTTTTCGGGGGGTACCCCTCAGATAGCTGCTGTGTTAGGAGAAAACTGAATCTAGACAGTGTAAAGGGTACAGTTGAGCTCCTAAACAAGCTATCAGAGAAAGGGCTGCATCATAGCCTGCAGAGATGGAGTCCCGACTGGGGCCAGACACGGGTTACAGAAGGGTACCCCCGGGAGATGGAAGCACTCATAGTAAACTGGGGAGCCAGAGCCCGGCCCACAGCAAGAAGCCCACTAATAGATATAGGATCTCCAAAGCAGCATAGGAAATTTTAAAGAGAGAGAGAGAGAGAACATGGGTGGTGGTTGGGGGTGGGGAGGTGCTGACAGGCAATGTTTATGTAACACTCTACATGTGGCAAGCCTGGCTTTTCATACTTTATATATACTAGCTCAGTTCATTCTCACCACAGCCCTATGAAGTAGACATTATCATCACTCCCCTTCTACAGGTGAGGAAACGGAGGCAA